CCTATGGCCCAGCAATTGCACTACTAGGTATTTATCCAAGGGATACAGGGATGCTGTTTCAAAGGGACACATGCACCCCAATATTTATAGCAGCACTATCAACAATAGCCAAAGTATGGAAAGAGCCCAAATGTCCATCGATGGATGAATGGATAAAGAAGGTGTGGTATATACATACAATGGAGTATTACTCGGCAATCAAAAAGAATGAAATCTTGCCATTTGCAACTATGTGGATGGAACAGGAGGGTATTATGCTAAGCGAAATTAGTCAGTCAGAGAAAGACAAGTATAATATGACTTCACTCATATGAGGACTTTAAGACACAGAACAGATGGCCATAAGGGAAGGGAAGCAAAAATAATATAAAAACAGGGAGGGGGACAAAACATAAGAGACTCAAATATGGAGAGCAAACAGAGGATTACTTGAGGGGTTGTGGGAGGGGGGATGGGCTAAATGGGTAAGGGGCAATAAGGAATCTACTCCTGAAATCACTGTGGCACTACATGCTAACTAATTTGGATGTAAATGAAAAAAATAAAATTAGTAATAAAAAGAAAAACAATAGTAACAAACTTAAAGAACTCATTGATAATAATACAATAATAGTAGGAAACTTTAACACCCCATTTACAACAATGGACAAATCATCTAAGCAGATCAGCAAGGAAACAATGGCTTTGAATGATACACTGGACCAGATAGACTTAACAGATATATTCAGAGCATTGCATCCAAAAGCAGCAGAATACACATTCTTTCTGAGTGCACATGGAACATTCTCCAGAAGAGATCACATACTGGTCAGAAATCAGGCCTCAGGCAGTACAAAAAGATTGAGATCATACCACACATATTTTAAGACCACAACACCATGAAACTTGAAGTCAATCACAAGAAAAAATTTGGAAAGACAAGGTTACAGAACATCCTACTGAAGAATGAATGGGTTAACCAGGAAATCAAAGAAGAAATTTAAAAAAATACATGGAAGCAAATGAAAATGAAAGCACAACAGCCCAAAACCTTTGGGATGCAGCAAAGGCAGTCTAAGAATGAAGTATGTAACAATACAGGTCTCCTTAAGATGCAAGAAAAGTCTCAAATACACAACCTAACCTTACACCTAAAGGAGCCGGATAAAGAACAGCAATTAAAACCCAAACCTAGCAGAAGAAGGGAAATAAAATAAAATAAAATAAAATAAAATAAAATAAAATAAAATAAAATAAAATAAAATTAGTACAGAAATAAATGATACAGAAATTTTAAAAAAGAATAGATCAACGAAACCCAGAACTGGTTCTTTTAAAGAGTGAACAAAATTGATAACCCCCTAGTTGGACTTAACAAAAGAAAAGAGAAAGGACCCAAATAAATAAAATCATGAATTGAAGAGGTGAGATCACAACCAACACTGCAGAAATACAGAGAATTGTAAGAGAATAATATAAGCAATTATATGCCAACAAACTGGGCAATCTGGAAGAAATGGACAAATTCCTAGAAACATATAAACTACCAAAACTGAATCAGGACGAAATAGGAAATTTTAACAGACCCATAACCAGTGAAGAAATTCAATCAGTAATCAAAAATCTCCCAACTACAAGGGTCCAGGTCCAGATGGCTTCCCAGGCGAAGTCTACCAAACATTTAAAGAAGAGTTAATACTCATTCTTCTGGGAGTGTTCCAAAAAATAGGAATAGAAGGAAAACTTTCAAACTAATTCTATTAAGCCAGCATTACTTTGATTCCAAAACAAGACAAAGACCCAACTAAATAGAATTTCAGACCAATATCCTTGATGCACATGGATGCAAAAATTATCAAAAAGACACTAGCAAATCAAATCCAACAGTATCATAAAAGAATGATTCACCATAATCAAGTGGGATTTATTCCTGGGCTGCAGGGGTGGTTCAATATCCACAAATCAATCAACATGATACACTACGTTAATAAAAGAAAGGATAAAAATCATATTACCCTCTCAGTAGATGCAGAAAAAAGCATTTGACAAAATATAGCATCCTTTCTTGATAAAAACCCTCCAGAAAGTAGGGATAGAAGGAACATACCTCAGCAGCCTAAAGGCCATATATGAAAGCCCCACAGCTAATATCATCTTCAGTGGGGAAAAACTGAAAGCCTATCGTATAAGGTGAGGAACATGGCGAAGATGTCCACCCTCACCACTGTTGTTCAGTATAGTACTGGAAGTCCTAGCCTCAGCAGTCAGACAACAAAAAGAAATAAAAGGCATTGAAATTGACAAGGAAGAAGTCAAACATTCGGTCTTCGCAGATGACATGATAACTCTATGTAGAAAGCCCAAAGGACTCCACCCCAAAATTTCTAGAACTGACACACAAATTAAACAAAGTTGCAAGATATAAGACCAACATACAGAACTGTTGCATTTCTATACACCAATAATGAAGCAGAAGATGGAGAAATCAAGAAATCGAACCCACTTACAATTGCACCAAACTGTAAGATACCTAGGAATAAGCCTAACCAAAGAGGCAAAAGATCTGTACTCTGAAAACTATAGAACGCTTTTGAAAGAAATTGAAGAAGACACAAAGAAATGAAAAAATATTTCATGCTCGTGGATTGGAAGAGCAAATATTGTTAAAATGTCAATACTACCCAAAGCAATCTACACATTGAATGCAATCCCTATCAAAATGCCACCAGCATTTTTCACAGAGCTAGAACAAACAATTCTAAAATTTGTATGGAACCAGAAGAGACCTGAAGAGCCAAAGCAATCTTGAAAAAGAAAACCAAAGCAGAGACATCACAGTTCCAAACTTCAAGCTGTATTACAAAGCTGTAATCATCAAAGACAGTATGGTACTGGCACAAAAACAGACACAGAGATCAATGGAACAGAATAGAAAGCCCAGAAATGGACCCACAATTATATGGTCAACGAATCTTCAGCAAAGCAGGAAAGAATTTAAGAAACAAAACAAATATGCATCAGGGAAAAAAAGAGAGAGAGAGAGAGAGAGGCAAACCAAGAAACACTCTTAACTATAGAGAAGAAACATGGTTACCAGAGGGGAGATGGGTGTGAGGATGAGTTAAATAGGTGATGGAGATTAAGGAGTGCACTTGTGATGAGCACATAGTGATGTGTGGAAGTGTTGAATTACTATATCGTACATCTGAAACTAATTTAACACTGTATATTAACTATACTAGAATTTAAGTAAAAGCTTAATACAAAACTTAAAAATGATGTAAATATTAACTAGAGTGGGACATGGAAAACGAAGACAGTTGATTCATAGCAATGATGGGTTATTTCTGTTATTTCACATTTCTGTTACTATTATAATGTTATTTCACCAATAGATATATGGGAGCATGGAAATCCCTTATTTCTCTTAAAGAAGGAGGGGGAGTTGCATGCTCTGGGACTCAGGAAATCATAGGAATTCCAGCTGAACTGGAAGAGTGGAAATGAACACGAGCAATATAAATACACTGAGGGATTCTGGCTAAGAAAATTTGGAAACAAAGCTTAGAGAAGGGAGATAACATCTGTGTTCCCAGGATTACAGAGGTAAAATCATGTTTTTTTTGCATTTGTCTTTTTAATGAATGCTCAATCTTGGTGTCCTAGGAAATGTCACTTAAATTTTCACATCTATGCATTTCAAAACTGCTTAGTCCTATGAATTTCAGTTTGTATTTTGTGAAGATGTCCTAGACCCTCAATAAAATGAATATGAGAAATTCTCCTTCATATTTTTCTTTGAAATCTATTTAATCTTTTAAGTGAATTATTTAAAGGCTATGTGTTAGTGTTACTAAATATATAACAAAGAGAGATCCCAATTTGTGGCTAAACTAATAATAGGACAGATGATCTTAAACCACAGGTATTATACTTACATGACTATGGTAGCTTATTTATCCTCTTGCAGCTCAGTTCCCTCATCTGTGAATGGAGGCAAAATCATCAACTTCATAAAGTCATTAAGTAGATAAAAGGAAATAATGTATGTAAAGCATGGAACGCAATACGTGACCTAGAAAACACTCAATAATTGGTTGTTATCCAAAAGGTGAATTACGCTACCCTCCATGTCCCCCTTCCAGGGGTTTACTGGAATGTGATCAAGTGTATACAGAGCTGCTCCCTTATGTATCTATTCCGTGTGAAGTATTTCTTTCTCCACTCTCTGTAGGTTGTACAGGTAGCCTTTTGTAAGATTTTCATCAGGGTCTGAAAACGAGTTTTGAGGCACGTGTCTTCTATACTCTAGTGAAAACCAACCAGATTGTCAGGGTGGACCTTAGGGCACAAGCTCAATCAGGTAGATCATCATCAATCAACTTTGCCAAAATACCCTGAATGTTTTCAGTGTTAATTCTTCCTTCCACAAAAAAATACACTTTTGCCTATATTAAACAAGACAATTGAGTAATCCACAAATATCTTTTCCATGTAAATTTCAGCAGAATTTCAATAGCATGTACACTGTTGCAGTGGTGAAAATGGCAGCCACCTGATGTAGCTCTTTAATCCTAAATCTTAAACCACAACAATCTTGAATTTCCTCCACATCAATTATCACAAGTATAGTTAGAAATCATAGTTCAAAAAAAAATATCATTCAAGATCCTCCCTTTTCAATTTCACCAAACTTTCAGCATAACCTAATAGGATGGAAATTAATAATTGAATATTTTAAAAGGTGTTTTTTTAATGTAAATTTGAAACTTTTTAAATTTATTTTTCTAGGAAGACAGCAAATCTTTAAAGGAACAGAGAAAACAGAAGAGCTTGTGTTTCCTAGGGATACTACTACAAAAGATAAAAACTTGTTGGAATAAAATTTTGAGGGGCTCTAAAGAACATTGAAAAATATGGAGTGGCAATATAAAGACATATGACTTTAGTTGTATCTTCCAAGAATCTATTTGCTCCTACAGTTTTTGGGGGTAGAATACCCTAGAAGTGACAGAATGCCTCCTGGTAAAAGTGGATTACAGCAGCTGAGAAATTCATACAATAGAACTAGAACTAGATGGACGCAGACAGTGGAAACCAAATGCTGCAATCAACAAACTATATGTTTTTGGACATAATCAATCAGTATTAATTCTGTGATTTTTGTAAGATAATCCATGTAAACTATTAGTTGCAATAATACTTTTTAAACCTGTTTTACAATTTCAGAAGAAGAGATAAAATCTGTGAAGTATATAAAGGTTGCAAGGATTAAAAAATAACATTGCTTTATTATCAAATTAATTTTATGCATCAGCATACTACAATGAGAGTGGAAATTGGTGTCTCTGTGCTGAAAATGTTTCAGAATTAACAGTGAGATGTGGGTAACATCCATGAGAGGAGGAGTCATATACCTTAAAGCAGCAGCAGTATGAAGGAGTACAAGAGATTTAAGAGAGAGATTAAGACATGTAATCATACATGAATGTATAACACAGTGCCTTCACTAGATGGTATAGCAAATGTTTTAAGATGACCATAAAGGATAGTTTCACAAAATAGAAACTCACCTGTTCTAAGGATGCTAAACCATAATACTGAGTTATTTTGGTCATTTATATGTAATAAAATTTGTCTAAATGAGTTTGCAATTTGGGAAGTATATTTTTAACAGAATAATATATGTTGACCTTTTAATTAATGAAATGTGTATATTTAATTTTGACACTGTATCTTATTATATACAAATATTTTCATACAGTATTACAAACGTTGCTTAGTTTGGATAACATTCCTCCTTTGATAATAAATGGTCTATGTAATAACACTGTCAGATTCACTTAATGCCTTTTAAAACAAGATTTTAATACTGTACCACTATTTGATCTCTCACTGTCATTGAATGTGACTTTTAATACCTTATTACTCAGAATGTGCATGAAACCAGGACCCAAAACTATATAAGAACAGGAACTTTGCTTTCTATGTTAAATTTTAGTCTTTTAAAAGAAGCTTTTGTGTATACCACATCCAGTTTAGAAAAGTCTGCCAATAGTCTTTGCTTACTTATAAAGGGAAATGAAAAACCTATTCTAGCCAGGCCAGAGTCCTTCAACAGCCACCACTTTGCTTAACTCACAGCCTTACTGCTCTTTTATGCTTTCATTACCACCTGGTAAAGTGCTGACCGGCTTTGAGCTTAAGATGAGGCTCTGGTGCCAGTGTGTGGTGGTAAGACTTTCCTCTCGGTTCAGGTTTGTGTCCCTGCCTCTCTTTCTCCCTCTCCCTAAATCCTATGGCGTTTCACCCTCACTGGTGCAGGTAGCTGTGTAGAATTGTACAGACAGTTGTACAGAATTCACTGACTGCTCCATTAATAGGGCTTTGAATCAATTATGTTTTTGTTTGGTTTTCATTATTAACTCAGAAAAGGGAGCTCACACTTTCAGGAGCAAATGATTCTTCACCAAGCTCTTTCTTCAGATGGACTTTTCCAAGTAAGCTATGCTTCCTTCCACCATAAAACATGGTCAACTGTGTGGTACACCTTCACTCTGATGAACTGGTATTGTCGGTAAACCATCAGCTGTAGAAATGAGGGAATTTTAAGTTTCTAAGGCAAGCTCTTCAAACTGTCCTTGAAAGTGTTCCTTGAAGCCTGTCTCAAACATCCCTAACAAGTGTTGAAAATGATTCTGAGATTATGGCAAAATAAAGAACAATATTTTTAAATGCTTGCAATAAGTTATTAAAATTTTCTTCCTTGATTTTCATTTGTTTATGATATGTTTGAATTTTAGAGAAAATTCACACTCAAAACAGTATTCAGCCTATACTGTGTACCAAATGCTTGAAAAAAAAATACCCAGGCATTTATGGTTGTATTTACCTTCGTTGTTTCCTACCCACTAGGAAGGTAAGTGGAGACAAGGCAGGCTAGTTAATAACGAACTTGGATATTATATTTTTATATTTTTACTCTCCAATTAGAGACTTGTTTTATCCCAATGAACATTTTCTTTCCAGTATGTACATTTACAATGCTTTAAAGCAGTATTTTCTAAAGTTTGTCCCAAGTAATCCTAATCCTCATCAATGCTATAGAAAAAGATGATGACGGCACAGAAGATGAAGAAAGATGAGGAGGAGGAGGAGGAGAAATATAAAAAGAAAAATAAAAAGAGGGAGGATTCTGAGTTCTGGAGTCAGATAAATTTTCTTTCAGAGATTTACAATTTATACAAGTATATTAAAGGATGTATAAACACATACAGCTTTAAAAAAAAAGCTTAACACTAAAAATCATTTCCAAAATTTGACTAGAGAGCACTACTTTTATGTAAAATCCATTACCTAAATGCACTTTGGGGAATATTGCGTTATATAAAGGGTCTCAATTAAAAGTCTTTTAGAATAGGCTCCCAAGGAATCCGTTGAAGGAAATACTCCTTCCAGGATTAAGACAGTTCTCTTAAAACTACAGATCCTGCTCAAACTTCAAGGGGCATCTCAATTCCTTTCTCCTCAATTGCTATGGCTTCCATGATGATTCTAGATAATGTTAATATTTCTTCCTTTCGTTGCCCAGCACTTAATTTCCGGTATCAGGCATTATTATTTGATCAGATTCATCTTAATATTTTATCTTAAATACAACTTATTATTTATACAATTTGTTTTCTATCCACATTTGTTTAAAATGTTTTCTCCTGAAAAAGCATATGATCTTCTGCGTTCCTTTAAGTTTCTAATGGGAAAAGCTAGGTATATGGTGGTTAATACATAAAGACAAATCGCATTAAACCAGTGTACCAATAAAAATCTAATTATCAAAAAAATACTTTACTGCAATAAAATACAACTTACTTAAAGGTAGATATGCTAGGAGCATAGAACATAATTAATTTAAACCAATAGGACTCCACAGCTTTGTGTTCTCAACATCTCCATGGAATTTTCATTTCTAAACTTTGTTGTGAAACAGCTTTCAGTCTTGATTCTGACCAAATAATAGAATCTGTGGAGATATTATAGGACAAAAAAAAATACAATAGGTAGGTACATTGATAATCACCAATTCCAACAGTTTTTTATGTCTCAGTACCTAAATATATGTATGCACCTAGATTCACCAAGTATTTAGTATTTGAGAAAGACGCAAAATGGTTACTTTGGTTTGGAATAACCTGGGGTTTATTTTCATTTATTTGTTTTACATCCTCTTCTACACAACGGTAAGAAAAAACTGGTTTTCCGTAGAAAACGAGTTTTCTAAGTAGGGGGGAGGTTAGATACACTTTAAGATCTTATTATCAAAGTGAATCAATTTTCTATCTGTATCTTACATGGGGAATATTGTGGAAACATTTACAATTTAGGGCTCACTGCTCCTGTTTTTCTTTCTTTAAAACACAGACTAAGGGTCCCATCCTTTCCACACTTCCCGGGTGGGATTGATGATTTTTTCGTTTGTGCCACCACTAAGGTCAACAAATAACTCAATAATCTACCAGGTGCCACCATGTGAGAGATGGGCATGTGCTTGCCAATTTCTACCTTTGATGCTTATCACAAATTTTATGTTTGAAAATAATCTGAATCAAATGGGAACATTTTACCTAAGAATTTAATTGGACAGGAACTCTTATAAATTGTTCTGGAAATGGTCCAAATCCTATCAAATGAAAGGCGGTTGGTTTGAAGAACATCTCATCAGGTGAAGTAAAAGCTTTCTAGGAGAAATCAGAAAGATCTGACAGGAAAGTATAAAATCACAGATATCTACCTTATCATCTCCTTACCCAGCATTCCCAGCAGAAAGGAAAGGATTTGTCTTTAGCTGTGAAAAAGTTTAAATATGTAGACAAATACATCTTTATACTTAAGAAAGAGGAGTTACTTTCATCAAGGTTAAGTTAAATACTATGGTTGGGACTTCTATCTTCACAGCCCAGTGGGTTTAAAGAAGCCCCATCCTTTGAATACCACTTAACAGGAAGATGCAACACAGATACAGATAATTCACTCAACAAATATTTATTAAGTATCCATCTCTAATGTGACAGTTCTGGACCTAGAGGTACAAGAAAGCCCCTGCCTTCAGGGAGCATATATTCCAAAAAAGGCAACACTCAACAAATGAACAAAATTATTACAGAAAACAAATTCTCTGGAAAACAAAGAAAAAACAAGATTGATCAACAGAGGAGGTATTTTAGGTAAGATGATTAAAAACCCCTTTGAAGACATTTGAAAGTATGTTATTGGTCTCAAAAATGTCAACATATATCACTGGCAATATAAATTTCATTGATTCAAGTAATTTGCAAAAAATCAAAACAATACTTCAACTATAGTATAGTACATTGTAATAAATTATGAAAATATCGATTGTTGACTCTGAAGCTGTATGTTGCCCTCAAGTATAAGCTTTATTTATATATTTTGAAATAATTTCAGATATATAGGAGTTGCAAAGATAGTACAGAGTGTTCCTGTATACCTTTTACCAAGTTTCCTCTAACACTAACATCTTACATAAGCATGGTACATTTATCCAAACCAAGAAATTAGCATTCTTTGTTGTGGGGGTGGGTGTGTGGTGCATGACTGAATGATTGGCAGCATCCCTAGTCACTACCAGAGAAATTGAGGTTACGAGAGGGGAGGGATGGGGGAAATGGGTAAAATAGGTGATGGGGATTAAGGAGTGCACTTGTCAGTGATGAGCACTGTGTGATGTATGTATGGATAGATTGTTGAATCACTATAGTGTACACCTGAAACTAATATAACAGGGTATGTTAACTAACTGGAATTAAAAACTTAGGAGCGCTTGGGTGGCTCAGTTCGTTAAGCATCTGACTCTTGATTTCAGCTTAGGTCATGATCTTGTGGTTTGTGAGATCAAGCCCTGTGTTGGCTGCATGCTGAGGGTACAGAGCCTGCTTGGGGTTCTCTTCCTCTCTCCCTTTCTGCCCCTCTCCACTCTTTCTCTCTCTCTCCCTCTCAAAATAAACATTTAAAAAGAAAAAACAAAACAAAAAATAGGTAGATGTCACTCACCTATATTAAATATCGTTAAGTTAGGCTAGATGATTAAAAAAAATTCTTATCTTAAAAAAGATTGTAACTCTTGTACAACTAAAATGAAATATTAAAGTAATAGCATAAAGAGTATCTGGTAATGTTTGAGTAATAGGTTTGAGATGCATAAATTGTTAACAAAATGTGAGGGTTAAATATTAAACATTCCTATTAATTACTACCACAATGGTGCCTAAAATGAGCTAGATTAAGGTTCTTAAAAATCAGCATATGGGGGCACCTGGGTGGCTCAGTGGGTTGGGTGGCCGACTACAGCTCAGGTCATGATCTCACGGTCTGTGAGTTCGAGCCCCGCACGGGGCTTTGTGCTGACAGCTCAGAGCCTGGAGCCTGCTTCCGATTCTGTGTCTCCCTCTCTCTCTGCCCCTTCCCTGCTTGCTGTCTCTCACTCTCTCAAAAATAATAAACATTAAAAAAAACCAGCTTATGAATTATTAAAGTCACAACAAAATGAAGAATAAAAACTATCTTTTATAAACCTCCATAATGTCATGAGATAGATATAGATATATCTATGTTGCGGAGAGGCCTTTAAAATAAAATTGGAAGCTGGTAATATTAAATTATCTAAAAGCACCCTCTAGTGGCAAAAAAAGCAATCCACGTATAAGCCAAGCAAACTTCCATATAATGAGTATTCTGATAGTAGTAATTAACTAAAAAACTTCTGAACTTCTGAAAATAAGTGTGGCTATCATTAACTTGGTTTTAATGATTTTCTACTGCTCAATTCAGTAACACAGTTGGAAAAATTATCTTAGTACTAAAAATATATCCACCACATAAAATACATATACCTATAATGCAAATATATTGCATTGAGTACAAATCAAACATGTTTAATTTAATTATATTAAAAATTTTTTTTATATTTATTCATTTCCTGAGAGAGAGACAGAGTGCAAGCAGAGGAGGGACAGAGAGAGGGAGATAATCCAAAGCAGACTCCAGGCTCTGAGCTGTCAGCACAGAGCCCAATGCAGGGCTTAAACTCACAAACCGCCAGATCACGCCTGAGCAGAAGTGGGATGCTTAATCGACTGAGCCACCCAGGTGCCCCTAATTTGATTATATTTTTACTAGAGACAGCTCCTGTTTAAAATTTTAAATATGATAGTCTAAAATTACTAAGTATTGATGACAAACCAATACTTTTAGCCATTAACTGTAACATTACCTAATTCGAAATACACACGCAACGTTTTCTATCAATCTTAAGTTCACTAATGTTTTCAACTGCTATATTTTACTGGCCATGAAGAGAATTTACTATGCATTAGAAATCTTGTAATGAAACATTTAGAACACTTTGAAGTCAGAAAACACTGCAATTCAGTAAAGTAATAGCAATTTTTTTTAAAAGCTGATGGCACAAAAAAATGGCCAATTAAAAGCTACTTTCTGCCATTTAAAAAAATTTGTATTTAGACTTTGAATATTTTCTTCATATTTCAGTGTGCTCTTATCTTTCTACCTATGTCTGGGTAAAAGCTAAGACATTAATAAAGACCGACTGGAATTTTTTTTTTTTTTTTTGCTTCATCTTTATTGAATAGGTTAAAAAATGAAGACAATATTTATAATAAAAAACTGTGAACAAGAGACAACAGCAACCATAATAATTTTACTTTTTCAAGCTAATGACTTTCAGAATAATATATAAGCAATTTTTACATTTTAAATTTAAGCTTATAATCATTTTTTATTCTACCACACTGGCAAATACTTGTGAAAATAAATAAAAATAAACTAAATGATCTAGGAAAATTTCTCATAAACTGAACTATTGCACAACAAATCAATGTGAGAATAATATATGTAAGTAATATAAAAATGCATTTAAACACATTGTCACAACATGTTTCATAATTCATAAGTATACTTCACCAACTTACTATTTATAATAATCTCTGGGTTCTAGAATTGGATGATTTTTATTTACCAACTCATTTTCCATGTAGTACATTGTAACATTTACTTGCTACTGCAAAATTCTGTGAGAAACAAACACGTGCCACTTCTGTTTAAGTTCATTTTATCTACCCTTCCCCTTGGGCAAAAACTATGTGGTCTTAAAAAAAAAAAAAATAGTGCTCAGTTCCAGGTAAAACAAAGTTTAAAGTTCTTCCTATGATTTATAACAATTAAGACAGAATAACATATTATAGAAATGAAAATCTAATACGTACATTATTCTCCTAAATTAATTACAGCTTATTCTAATAAATGGACTTTTTTTAAATACTAATTTGACTGAATGAAGACAACCAGAAAAAAAAAGTTAATAAAAAGTCAGGAAAGAAACCATAAGGAAAATAAAATAACAATTCCCATTATCTCAAGTTTACATACCCTGCCTGAATGAAAAACAAAAACAGAAACAAAAACTAATGAGTACAATTACAAAGTATAAGCATAAATAAATTTCAGAAAAATTGTAAGCCACAAATTTCTACATTAACCCTTACAGTTGATCACAGTCATAAACGAGAAGCTATAAACTGCCTATAAAAGATTTGCTTATAGGGGCGCCTGGGTGGCGCAGTCGGTTAAGCCACGTCCGACTTCAGCCAGGTCACGATCTCGCGGTCCGTGAGTTCGAGCCCCGCGTCAGGCTCTGGGCTGATGGCTCAGAGCCTGGAGCCTGTTTCCGATTCTGTGTCTCCCTCTCTCTCTGCCCCTCCCCCGTTCATGCTCTGTCTCTCTTTGTCCCCAAAAAAATAAATAAACGTTGAAAAAAAAAAACATTAAAAAAAAAATAAAAAAAAAAAAGATTTTCTTATAACTTTGTAAGATCAAAGCTCTTTCCATTCAACAGAAATTACTAATAAATTATAGAATATGGCTGCATAGGCGATCAAAGAAATCTGCTAAATACTGTTACATTGAAAGTGACAATGATTAAAAGCTACATTTTAGCCAAAATTAAAGTATAATTAAATTTTTGTGAATGTTTAATTACATAAGTCAGCTAATGCATTAAAGCAATGCATTTTCAGTGGGGTTTTTACTGTGATGTGAATGGTGTTTTGGCAATAAACACTAAAAAGAAAATATAAGTAGGAAAATTAGATATTCTCTTGACCTACTCATAACTACATCTAACTATACTTCAAGGGAAATTAAAATTTAAAAATTGCTAATGATTAACTATCCAAATTATTTATTAGGTGAGGTGGTTTGTTTTAAAATCTATTAAAAATAATTTTTTCTAATTACACAGAAATAAATGTGTGGAATTTTGTAAGGAAATTTATGCATTTTATATTATTTTCAAACTTTGCAAATAAAAAAAGTAGTAAAATAAAACTCTTTAGACATGAGGTTATGAAAAAAATGAAATATGGAGATACAATTAGAAATAGAATATACATTCAACTAACAAAGAAGTAAAAAAAAATCATTCAGTTATGACTGGAATAAGACACATCTGCATTTTTCAGTCTTGTGTTTCTAAAAAGGAAACTGCATAATTACATTTTAAAGAATGAGTAAAAACCTTTAAATTATAAAATTAGTGACATACTGAGTAAAGGACAACCTAGACCCGTGGGGCTTTTTTCCTTTCTTTTTTAATATTTATAAAATTAATGGTTGGCAAGCTCTACAGAAATGATCTCACATAACTAGTTGTAACTAAAAATATTCTCTTCATTTCCAAAATTTCAAGCATCCCATCCTATGATACTATCTGAAAATAGGCACCGATAATAAATATGTTAGTTCTGATTTTTTGCTCAAGGTAATGATCATCCCTAAAGCTTGAAGGACTGAGCACTAGTGTTTGATTTTGTGGAGGTATGCTTCATGTGCTTTAACAACAATAACAGAAAAGTAACACCTAAGTTAATGATTCCACTTGAAATTATTTTGACAGATGAGTAAATATTTCCTTGAATGGCACAGTTTGGGGCATCAGGTATTTATTATATACAGTATATGTACACAAATATATACACACACACATTACACAGCCAAAGATTATGCTTCAAAAATTGCTGAAAAAAGTATTTTGAATAATTTTAGCATAAATTCACTAGAGGAAGTGCTTAGCTGTCCAAGCAGCAACAGTCATAAAATTTTAGACTTAGCTTTTTTTTGGACTCTGTTCACAGAACCATTCTTCGAATGCCACATTCACAGCAGAACTTTGCCCATTCTACAGGGTATTTAGTCCCACACTCATGGCAGAATTTTGGTAAGTGTCCTGTTGAATTTCCTTCCATGCCTTTAATGTTTCCGCCATTAAGTGAAGATACACAGTCTCCATCTGGCCTGAAGAAGTATAGGAAAAAAGTGGAAACACAAAGTTCTTGTCAGTAGTTTTCATAACCCTTAGAAAACACAACATAAAAATATTAAGTACAACTAAAACATTGTTTAACCTCATTTTTAATACTCTTCTAGTTTAGATTTAAAAAAAAAAAAGAATCCCTTTTAGTTAATAATGAAATTCTAAATGTTTTCTTTCGCATTTTATTTGTCCCTGTTATGAGAATCTTTCAGGAACAAATGCCACCATACTTTGCATCTCCTCAATATACTACGTATTTACTACAATGGGAGCATGATGGAAATTTAGGTGTCCCTTCTGCAAAACCATCTCTACAGAGAAAACTGGAACTCTGCCCTGAGGAAAGGTGGAGGTCTTGCCTCCAAATATACATCGTAATAAATATGTACATATAACATATATTATAAAACTAAATACATAATTTCTCCCAATCTATTATGCTATTTTCACTGTATCCATAGTATCTTTTAAAATTCTCATCATTATCATTAGGTCCTTTGCTCTAATTTAGTTACACTAACACACTCAAATTCTTTCATCCTTTATCCCCTGTACTGCAACCCTCATGGCTCTGGACACTCTCACTGTCACCTTGAACTCTGTGTCCCCTTTTGCTTTAACTGTTGTCCATCTGACATGCAGTATATGTTATTTATGTTATGTCTTCTCCATAAGATTGTAAGCTCCCTGAGTGCAGGGATTTTTATCTGTTTTATTATTGCTCTAGGCTAGGATCAAGAGAAATACTGGACATAAACTCATCTCTCAGTAAATATTTTTTTAACGAGTAAGTGAATGAGTAATACATGACAAGGATAAAGAAAGCAAAATATTTGGTCTGTTTAAAATGCCAAAGAGGGGGCACCTGGGTGGCTCAGTCGGTTAAGCGTCCGACTTCGGCTCAGGTCACGATCTCGCGATCCGCGAGTTCGAGCCCCGCGTCCAGCTCTGGGCTGATGGCTCAGAGCCTGGAGCCTGCTTCCGATTCTGTGTTTCCCTCTCTCTCTGCCCCTCCCCCGTTCATGCTGTGTCTCTCTCTGTCTCAAAAATAAATAAACGTTAAAAAAAAAATTTTTTTTTAAATAAAAATAAAAAAAAATAAAATGCCAAAGAAAACTTCTCTCAAGAATGATCAACAAAAAAGGAACAAACAATATTCAGAATAAAAGAGGGATGTAACTACAGATATAACAGAGATTTAAAATTATAAGAACAATTCTATGCTAGCAATTTGAAACTCAGATGAAATGAAAAATTTCCTAGAAAAATGTACTTATGAAAACTGATTTCAAATAAACTAGCACTAAACAAACATAATCATTAAATTATGAATGAAATAGTAATTAATAGACTACCCCTCCTTATCACGTAGGTACACACACACATAATGGACTCAGGACAGTTTTACATGGTAAATTCTACTAAACTTTTCCAAAAGAGGGAGGTGAAAAACAATATTCTGCAATTTCTTTTCAAGGTTGTTTGAAACTCAAACTAATAAGATAATATAAAATTAAAATACATTTTACCTGTTAACTTGGAAATACATGTAAATATCTTCAAGAATTTCAGCAAATGCAATTTACAAACATGCAATTCAGGACACTTTAGATTTATTTCAGAACATAGGACTGATTTAACATTAGGAAATATATTAATACAATTTATCACATAAACAGACTAAAGATTTAAAAATATTAGTTATATGTACATATATGATATTCAATAACACTCACCACTTATTCTTGATTAAAAAAACACTTAGAAAATTAGGAATAAAAGGGAATGTCATTATATCAATAAAATGTATTTAACAGAATTCTGTATCAGTCTCCCTCTTTAATGGTGACATGTAAGAATTTTCTTTAAAAACAGAAATGCCACAAGAATGTCAGCTATAATCATTTCTATTTTAATATAACCTATAATGTAGCCTAAGGTGAACTCCTTGTTTCTGTGGACACATCTGACACTGGGATAGCTTCCCAGCCTTCTTTAATGAAAACCTTTAAAAAGGTGGAATGCCAGCTGTGCTTCCAGCCCATAGAGCTTATACGCTGTCCACTGAAACCAGACATCCCTCGGGACAAACTGAAAGCTATGTCCATGGACTGTTATGTGAGAAACTCATTCCCTTTGGGGGACACAGAATTTCCTATTAAACTGATCCTACACTCACTTATAAGATCTTGTTCTTTCACACCCATGCTGTCACTTGGACGGTCAAAGACCAGCTCCAGGATGGGGGCAAGGATTTCCAGGAAAGAGACACACCTGACACTTCTTGCTATCATTCCCTATTTCCTGTCAGTAATCCCAATGCCAAATGTCATATATTACCACGTGACTACATCTAGCTGTGCCTCCGGATGAGCATTTCAAGAGTCCTGGCTTAGAGAAGAGGCATGAGGAGAGGGGAAGGCAAAGTTGAGTTTCTAAAGCTCCACTTTGTACAAGTCCAACAAACCAACTCCTTTCTCCCACAATGACATTAAAACCCAAGCCTTTCAACAGGAAGATCAGTAAAGCCTCAAATGTAAGTGCAGTGTCAGGGTTAATTTACCCATTTGACCTCTAGTTTCCTTTGTTTATTTACCTGTGGAGGTTTCCTTTACCTTTCTGAGAGCTAAGCTATACATTCAAAAGGATATTTGTTCCATTTTGTGTAGTTATTTCTAGGTATTTTGGGTGGAAGAACCATCCAGAAAATGTAGTCTCTCAAACTTGCAGGAAAAGATATCTATGAGATTTCTTCATCTATTATGGTTGTAATTACTCCATCTGGGTAGGGTAGTAAGTCAAGTGAACAAGGTTCAGGGTTTCCTATCACATATCAACCATTTAAAAAGAAAGAAAAGAAAACCAAAAAAGAACCCAAACTCATTTTTAATGGATTTTTACCCCTGATTGTTGACACTTCTTTTGTCTACCTCTTTAGAAAGATTAAATGATCTTTTTATTCAAGCGCATGTATTTATTAAGCTTTCTACTTTATAAGAGAATGTTAATTCTACACTCAGAATGGCCCTATACTTATACAACAACATAGTACAGCCACATGTCAGGAATCCAAGAAACATTAAGTTCACTTCTTTAATACTTAACATGCATCAAAACCTCAGCTGAGACAAACAATGTTTATTAAAGAATGTAGCTGGAAAGGTAGTAGTTCACCTATTCATCTATTGCTCTCATTCCATGTTATGCCTAAACATCACTCTTAAAACTTTAAAAATCCAAACCAAAGAATTCAAACTCTCTGGGAGGGATGTGGACCTGTTCATTTTCAGAAAGTTCCACAGGTGCTTTGTTCTGAAGGGTAACAACCAAGATTGACAGCTAGGATTTAGATACTTGAAAATCTAACCCTGCATTAAATCTAAATAATGGATAACTGTGTATGTTATATACTTATAACAAAAGTGGACAACATATATACCTATACATAACAAATATATATCACAACCATTTTTGGTGAATTCATGTTATAGGCCTGCATTGAGGGCATCTTAAAACACCCTATGAAATTTATTACCGTATTTACAGTGGAGATGTTAATTAAGAAGTTATTCATTGGATGGGGAGGATAAATTAGAGGAAGGTGGTCAAAAGGTATAAACTTCTAGTTGTAAGATAAATAGGTACTAGGGATGTAATGTACAACATGATGACTACATCAAACAGTGTGACAGATAGGAACGTTTCTAAGTGAGTAAATCCTAAAAGTTCTCAACACAAGGTGAAATCTTTTTTTTTTTTTTTTTTGCTTTTTTCCTTCTATCTGTGTTAAGAAGATGGATGTTAACCGAACATAATGGTAATCGTTTCAGAATATATGTAAAACAAAACCATCATGCTGTCTGCCTTAAACTTATCCAGTGATGTATGGCAATTACTTCTCAATAAAGCTGGAAAAAAAAGTTATCCATTAAATTACTCAGTTCCTCTTTTATAAGAATTCACAGGCAGATTTCTGAGGCCTTGAGACTAGTGCTTTCAAAGAGAAATAATTTTTGATTTTTAAATATAACATCAATCATGTAACTACTCTTCTCTTCTCCTGTACTCTGGCTGCTACAAAGTTTGGACCCAATTTATGGCCAAGGGCTAGGCTGTGGACTAACTTCATTCCTTTTTTTGCTTTATCTTTTAATTCTCATTTTTCCTTTTCCTATTCTTTCATTTTTATACAATACTGTATCTCAACGTGTATCTCTGTATACAGCCTTAAAGCTTTCTGGAATAGTTGGAATACACACACACACATTTTTATATAATATTGTATCTCAACATGTATCTCTGTATATTGCCTTAAAGCTTTCTGGAATAGATGTGATTGATACACACACACACACACACACACACACACACACACACACACACACATATACTAGCTGTAACTGGAAGGATTTCATTATATGCTTAAACACGGAGTGAATGTCAAAGTTGTACAAATATTGTGACAGATAAGAAAGGGAAGTACATGGATATTCACAACCTCAGTAGGGGAATTTAAATGTATTAAAATGCTGCTGAAAATTACAATACCAGTGGTATAAAGGGTCTATGACTCAATTTGTTGAGGTAAAAAGAACTACGTTGCACTTAAAATTAAGATATAAAATACCAATGAATCCAGTGAAACTGAACAGATTACTTTGAGCATTTACAACATTAATAACTACAAGGTATAGGAAACTATTATTTATGCCCAAATTATTTCTTTAGTGTACAGCTTAAAAACCAAACTAAATCATTAACAGTAAAGGAAAATTAGATTTTCTATTAACAGTCTGATACATATTTTTGTATATGGTCCTTAAAAAACTACATATATTCATTTTTATTTTAGTTCTTACAATCTCAGAGCTAAACATACCTGGCTATGTAGCTCTCAGTATATGTTTTTCTTTTGTTTGTAAGCACACCTGAAGCAGGATTTCGTGCCAAACTAGGTGGTGTGGAATTTCGAGGTTTGATGTTAGTTCTAAGAGAGAAAGAGATGACATAATGAAAACATAAAAAATAGTAAGCATTTATTTCTCATATTGCTTATTTGCATGATTAGAAAAATAATTTGAAGCTGTAGAGAGGTGAATTCAAAAGATTAAAATACGAGTAATTATTTTAAATCTGAAAACAATAGTTAAAGCTAAGGATAATCCAAAGCACTTTGCATTTACTAACAGTATCCTGATGGCATATAAAATCAACTATATATATATATATATATATATATATA